CTTGCAAGCTGTGGTCTCATCATGGAGAAATAGAAATAGAACCTTCATTGCAGCACATTTATAAACACAACACTGACGACCACAGGTCTCCAAACAATTCTTCTACTACTTGTTTGAATTACAGTTGGCAACACAACATGGCGTCTCTCTGAACACTGTAACAGGTTAAAGGAATCTTCTAAGCCAGTGGTTCTCAAACTGTGGTACGTGTACCACTAGTGGTACGCGGGCTTCCTTCTAGTGGTACGCGGAGGAATGCAATATGGCATGTACATGCTACATATATATCAAAATTTATCAAAAATGATGTATATAGTATGCCATATATGACATATAGCCTATATTTCTGAGGTAATTTGCCACATTTTTTTAACTGTGCAGAGTTGTAGCTGCTTTACTGGGCCTACTACACTACTGTATTTCAATACTGCTCATTTTGGTGGTACTTGGAGAGACAATTTTTTTCTGAGGTGGTACTTAATGAAAAAAATTTGAGAACCACTGTTCTAAGCTATATCATGCATATTAATGAATTGCACCTCGTTCACAATAGAGCACACTGATTGGTTCGAACCAAGTCTTTCTCATGAATTAGTGCTGAAAACTTAATGACGTCACTTTGTACAGGCCGGTACAGATAACCAATCTCTACGCTGGAATTTACATAATTTACACTCTAAACAATGCAAAAGCAACCAATTGTCACTTGTTAGCTAAATATATGTGTCCTAATAACGTTTTAGCAACGTGGGGTGTTTGACTCAGCATCTCAAAAAATGTGTTTTGGTATTTTGTGACCTTTTAAATCTTGCTTAACTGGGTCTTTTGATATTCAAAATTTGGCACAGGTTTCCAGTGATGGTTGGATTTATAGGGTTAGGGTAAATGAGAAAAAAAAGATAGTAAAAAAGTAATAAAGTAAAAAAAATACAATGTGAGAAAAGTTATGATATAAAATGAAAAAAAAAAAGCGTTCTAGGTCACTAATCAAATAAAGTCATTATTGTCATGTGAAATAATTTGCACAAAAGGTTGTTAAAAAATGTGTGGCTTCCATTTAAGCACAAGATTTTAAGATTTCTGAATCATGTTGAATACGAATATCAGCAGATTTTTTACAAACTTATAAAGTTCCTGCAATTTGTGTGGTTCTGTAATTGAAGCAGAAGTAAATAAGCCAAGATTATTTATAAAGCACATTTCATGTATTGTGTTAATCCAAAGTGTTTTACTTTGAAATACATTTTTAAAGTTAATGAAAAACAGCAAACAAAAAGGCTTTTCAAATGTTAAAAAAAGGCTTAAATTGAACTGCGTGTAGTAAGTAGCACAGAAACAGTGCTGAATCTAATAAAATTGTGTACATCGGTTCAACTAGTGCTCTTAGACTTCCAGACCCCTCTTTTTGTGGAGACAGAGTATGTGAGATTTTTCTCAGTCATTTACATTAGAAAACACTTAGTGAAGGAGGTGCACAAACCCTCTAACGCACGCTCTGCAGGGTTTTGGTGAAACTGTTTGCCTGACCTGGTTCCTCAGGATCACAGCAGGTAAACTGACAGCATGGATCTAGCTTTAATCATTTGTCCGTGTGCATACACACTTATTCCCACATTTACACACATAGGATTTTGCCAAAGGATGTTGAATATTCTCAAGTAAATAAGGATAGTTTAAAGAAGTCTAGTTTCTTGTAAGAGAGATCTTCTGTAGCTTAGTCTCAGGTAAACGTACTAAAGGTTAAGCATTCTTTAATAGTCCTTCTGTGATTTGAACACCTCCCAACCAGGGCAGAGTTGAAAGTTTGTTTATCTACTGCTCAGTTGACCTAATCCATATGTGACATAACTTTGTTTTGACTTACAATGGACTCACAGGTGTTAACATAATACATTTATCTGTTGATGTACAGCTATGGAATAAATAAGGAGACATTTCTGAAGTTCTGATTTATTCTGTCAACTACTGATGACATCTCTTGTAAGTTTTATATAAAAATGTCATCAGAAATGCAATAGGTTCATATTAATCTGTAGGCAACAGAATACCAATGAACACACACACACACATCTCTCAACCACGTCTCAAGCTTCTGCAGACTTGTGTCTGTATGACTGACATGGAGTATTTGAAGCTGTTTGTACCTTCAAACAACAAAATATAAGATTCATAAAATGTCTACCCCGCATACAATTTAGTATCGAATGACATTGCAACTCTCCAATATGAATGTAAAATGAATTCAAACAAACATTTACAAATGAAAAATGAGACTGCTATATTTAACAAATGCTTAGTTGCAGTCTCTGAGCTAGTTAGTGTGAAACCACAACATACCAATATAAAAATGACTTGCATCCTTCATACAAATTGTATGTACAGCTACTGTACATCCTTTATATGCAATTTTTATTTAAGTCCAGCTTCATATGGCATGAGTTTGTAGACCAGCAAATTTTTTTTTTGCACACACTAGCAAGTTTCCAGTAAATTAAACTTTTGCTGCTTCTGATGCGGGTATTCTGTGTGAGGGAACTTGTGAGCCTATGAATTTACAAACCAAAACACAGAAACCTTTGCTATTCATTGAATTAAATGGGTGGGTAGAGGGACAAGTTCATAGTTTGCTCGGAGGATGCCAGTTACATCTAGCAGTTAACTAGCTAGTTACATTTAAATTGGCACAGAATTAAAACAGGTCAATTATGACAAATAAACACACTCTGATAGTTAATAAACAATAGCTACATATTTTTTCAACTTGTCTGATCTAGCAGACAAAGCAGAACCCAAACTAAACACAAAAGTAAATATTTCATTCAATGTGACCTTTAAGTATTAATATTAATATTTGATAATAATATTTTACGCAAACACAAAAGTAATAAACTCAGTAATTCCAGAGAAACTGAGAATTAAGCACCCTGTGTTCTATGTTTTGATTAGGGTATTTTGATGATATATTTGGCATGTGAAAGTAAAGCCAGCTAAGGTTGCTGTTTCTAATATAATAAAAGAGCGATGGCACATCTGACTTTTTCACTCTTTTGACTGGTTCAGTCAAACTCTTAAAAATGATTCATGTTTTGGAAAGACATTGAAATCCTAGAGTATATCCACTTGTTAAATCTGACATCAGATACCAACATTCACATTATACTGAAAATAACACTTCTAGACTATAAGCATTGGTAGTTGATTATTGACTGTGCTGTTGGAGCAAATGAGAATGCAAAACTCACAATTGTTGTAGTTTCCATTTACCACTATAGACATTTACCCAGACTTCCACTTCTGAAAAGCTTGCAGATGCGAAAAGGATCCGACATGCTTTGAATAATGGTGTACACTGTAAAATCAGATAAGTTGAATGAATTAAAACTGTTTGTGGAAACCGATTGCGGCAAACTATTTAAATTTTGAAACCATATGGTTTAAGTACTGTAATCTTATATATATATATATATATATATATATATATATATATATATATATATATATATATATATATATATATATATATATACACACACACACACTCACTGGTCTGCACATCCATGATGCAAATCTCTCATTCCACCACATCCCAAAGGTGCTCTATTGAATTGAGATCTGGTGACTGTGGTGGCCATTTGAGTACAGTGAACTCATTGTCATCTTTAAGAAACCAGTCTGAGATGATTTGTGCTTTATGACATGGCGAGTTATCCTGCTGGAAGTAGCAATCAGAAGATGGGTACACTGTGTTCATAAAGGAATGAACATGGTTAGCAACAATATTCAGGTAGCCTGTGGCATTGACATAATGATTGGTACTAATGGGACTTAGCTGGACTAAGTGTGGCAAGAAAATATTCCCCACAGCATTACACCACCACCAGCCTGAACCGTTTATACAAGGCAGGATGGTTCCATGCTTTCATGTTGCTGATGCCAACTTCTGACCCAACCATCTGAATTTCGCAGCAGAAATCAAGATTCATCAGACCAGGCAATGTTTTTACAATTTTACATGGTCCAATTTTGGTGAGCCTGTGTGAATTTTAGCCTCAGTTTGCTTATCTTATCTGACAGGAGTGATACCCGGTGTGGTCTTCTGCTACTGTAGCCCATCTGCATCAAGGTTGGACGTGTTGTGCACTCAGAAATGCTCTTCTGCATACTTTGGTTGTAACGAGTAGTTATTTGAGTTACTGTTGCATTTTTTAAGCTCGAACCAGTCTGGCCAATCTCCTCTGACATCAACAAGACATTCGCACCCACAGAACTGCCGCTCACTGGATATTTTCTCTTTTTCGGACCATTTTCTATAAACCCTAGAGATGGTTGTGCATGAAAATCCCAGTAGATCAGCAGTTTCTGAAATACTCAGAACGCCTGTCTGGCACCAGCAACCTTGCCATGTTCAAAGTCACTTAAATAATCTTTTTTCCCCCATTCTGATGGTTTGTTTGAACTGCAGCAGATGGTCTTGACCATGTCTACATGCCTAAATGTATTGAGTTGTGTTAATGAGCAGTTGGACAGGTGTACCTAATAAAGTGAGTGTATATCGAGTCATATACACAAATATTATTTGTGTTTATATCATCAAACATTGAAATTATAAGTTCAGTTATCAAACTGGTATGAGTTCAGTTATTAGAATTAATTGAGTCCAAACAACTATATACTGTAGCTACTCAAATGGTTTGGCATTGCTTCTAGCATTAGAGTTCATTTAACACAAAATAATTTAAATTAATTAATTCGTAACTCATTCGGTTTGATTTCTGCTTCATATAATCATTTTATGAGTCACCTTAACTCTTTTCATTTAGTCAAAGTAACTTTTTTAAAAATGATAAGTTAAACAAACTTATTTTATTTTGTGTTTTACAGTGAAGGAAAAGTAAGATAAAAAAAAGATAGGTACATGAAAACCTGTCTTCTGTACTTTGTACTATCTGTACTTTTACTCACACGCTGTTATTGTCCTTTTCTCCATATGTGTTCATCAGCTGAGTGTGAGCACAAAATCCACAGCACGACTGGAACCATCAGCAGTCCAAACTGGCCTGACAAATACCCCAGCAGAAAGGAGTGCACGTGGGACATCACCGCAACCCCTGGTCACCGGGTCAAAATTGTGAGTTTTTATATACACCTGCGCTGTACAATTGCATTTGGTAAAATAAACCTCTACATGAGACACGCTCAGAAAACAAGCACACAAACCTCTGGCGTCAGTGACCCGAGCAGACACATAAACATACATGTAATCCTATTGTGGTCCTCTCACGTTTAAAGACAAATAATCTCACATCACACACATTCCCACTCACATAAACAGGCGTGCACGTATAATCTCCTCTCAGACAAACACGTGGATGCACAAACACTCACACATGCATCATGACCTGTCCGCCTCTATATTACATGCACATTTAAATGCTTCCACAAACACACATAAGATAAAAGCACCACATGACATCTAATAAATGAAGGCTTGAGCAAGTGTCCCCTTGCTCATTCAGTGTTTTACTATTACTGTTTCTGGACCTGACTTCTGAGTCATCTGATTACATGTGAAATGATTCTAAATGAGCCTTCTTCTCACAGAAAGCAAGGGAAGTCACTGAAGGAGACTTTTATTGTTTGTTTGAGTGAGTGAGGTGGAAGTGTTTTGGGGATTGCTTGTTTTAAGGTCCATTAGAGTGAATATATCATTCTGACATTACTGTTTGAAGTTTTCATGATAAATTTGTAGAGTAACTTTATCAGCACGGTCGCTCAGTGACAGCTGGCTTTTTACGTAATGCTGATGTTGTGAGCACAATGAGTTTAATACATGTAATTGAAGCTCATGCAGTGGTTCGGGGATTTGTGAACGATCCAACACAGCCTAGTTTAAAGTTTTCTTTGCTGCAAGCCAGTTCACTAACTCTGGCCGTCTTGGCAAGGCCCACAAAGTATTGATTTTCAATGTACCTTCCACAGTTGTTTCTAGAATCGAAACACCTATTTTTAGCACATCCTCACCCTCCCATGTTTGTGAATTAAACAGCTTGACATTTTTAGACCAAAATCTTTTTACTTTTTTTTTTATTTTTTTTTTTTACATTTTAGTGACATGCATATTTCATTGAATTGATATGATAATGATTGATAATGATTGATAATAATTAAATGATTGATAATAATTAAATACATGTAATAAAGTTTTTATAAAAAAACTTTATTACATGTATTTAATTATTAAAATAAAGTAAAACAGTTGTATATACAGTAATATACAGTGTGAGTATTCAACACGTCATGTTTTTTTTTTTTTCTGGGAAAAATATAAAATTATAACCAAACAAATCTGAAAAGTGAGTTATGTGTAATTACAACGGAATGAAACAAGAACAAAGTTCTAAAGTAGTGAAATTTATTCGTCTATTAAATCTGATCTTTAAGTTGTATTTTTATAAGTCAGATGTTCTACAGTTTGATTTTCTTTCTCTGAAACCAGTTGAGAGTTTCTTTGGCTGTTTTGAATCCTTGTCTTGCTGAAATGTCCACCCTGGTTTTATCTTCATCATCCTGATAATGTAGATTGACTGACTAATAATTTACAATGACGAAAGGCAGAGAGTTGCTGAATAACTACTGAGAGCTATCAGCTGCTGTCGGGGCTTTCACTGCCTTTCTGCATCTCCCTTTCTTTATGTGTTCAATACATTTTACCTGTGTAATTTCATTTTTCACACATAACTTAATTTGTAAACTACTTTATATTGTTTTCTTTACATATATCAGGGTGTCTGCGGGGTCTTAAAAGGTATTAAAAGTTAAAAAAATCAATGTAGAGAAATTGAAGGCCCTTAAAAAGTATTAAAAAGTCTTAAATGCTATTTTGCAAGGTATTCAATTTTATATAATTTTTGCTTATGCAATGTATGGTTGTATGCTAAAGTTTGGCTTAAATAAATCTGTGAATATTAGGATGAAATCCTGCTAGGTTTGACATCATGCTGCTTTGTTTACTGCAGAAACCAAGCCAACAGCATTATTTCTGCAGTTCTATAGGCGCCAACCTGCTGAATTAGCTAGATTTAATATATTTTTATTTAGTAAATGAATAGTGGTTAAGTTTTGGATTAGTTTCTTACATTAATATTTAGTAAATATACTGTAAACTAAAACCAGTGGCAAACCTAACATGGTTATAAGGTCTTAAAATGTTTGGAAAGAGTCTTAAAAAAAGGTCTTAAAAGATATTACATTTCATTCTCTGAGTATACACTGATATATGTTTTTTTTTCTTGGCTGTAACTAGCATCTGGTGAAAGTCAACAGCACCTTTAGAAATATGTTTTCCGAGAAAAATGGTGACGTGTTTAATACTTATTTCCCCCACTGTATTTGTATATTGATGCAAAGTTGAATTTTCAGCTCTCATTATTTCAGTCACTGGGATCATGTGATTCATACTAATATGGTGCTTAAAAAAAACTTATCTTATTATTGAAAGCAATTGCACTGCTTAATATTTTGTGGAATCTCTGATAAATTGTTTGATGAATATAAAATTATTTATTTGAAATGTATATCTTTACTGTGACTTGATCACTTAAACGCATCTTTACTGAATACAATCTCCTCCTTAGCTCCTTTTTGAGATGTTGTGTATCAGTTGAACAGTTTTTCTGTGAGGTCCTTCTTACATGCGTGAGCAATTAGTAGAAAAACAGAATGCCATTATAAAACATGTGATTGTATTTTATGAATGAGTTTTCAGCTAAAGAGATTAAACAAGAGAAATATTTTCTTATTGTTTGTTTAGAATTTATGTGAGTGATCATTTCTCACCTGCTGATTATTTTTTCTCTGCCTTTTTCTCTTTCTAGTCTTTTAATGAATTTGAGATTGAGCAGCACCAGGAATGCGCATATGATCACCTGGAGGCCTTTGACGGCGATTCAGACAAGACTCCTATACTGAGTCGCCTGTGTGGCAATAAGATTCCCGAACCACTCATTTCCACTGGCAACAAGATGTATCTGCGTTTCATCTCCGATGCCTCAGTTCAACGGAAAGGCTTTCAGGCCACTCATTCCACCGGTAACCAACATGTTTTTCATTTACTTAAATTTCCGTTAAGGGTGACAAGGTGGCGCATTAGGCAGTGCTGTCGCCTCACAGCAAAAAGGTTTGAGCCTCTTCTGGGTCAGTTGGCATTTCTGTGTGGAGTTTGCATGTTCTCCCCGTGTTCGCATGGGTTTCCTCCGGGTGCTCCGGTTTGCCCCACATATCCAAAGACATGCGGTACAGGTGAATTGGGTAAGCTAAATTGTCCATAGTGTATGTGTGTGAATGAGAATGTATGGGTGTTTCCCAGTGATGGGTTGCAGCTGGAAGGGTATCCGATGCATAAAAACATGCTGGATGAGTTGGTGGTTCATCCCGCTGTGGCAACCCCAGATTAATAAAGGGAATAAGCTGAAAAGTAAATGAATGAATGAATGAATTTCCATTATTCTTTACAAGCAATCCACTTAGATTAGATATGATTCAACTTCATACTAGTAAAGCTCAATTCATGCTTGCAGTTTAACAGAGCCATCTAGTGGACATTTTCTGCATCGCATGTTGATCACAGTCTAAAAGATTGCCTGAAGTGTCAGTCACTAAATCTTGCACAATTTTAAAGCTAAAACTCAGAACATTTTAGACGGTGCGTTTGCCTCAACCATAGTTTATTAAATTACAACTCTTTTATATAATAAACAGATTTTTTTCAATAATTAATAAAGACTTCAGGCATATAGTTTTAGTTAATAGCAATATTTTCATTTCATTCATATATTTCTAAAAACATATGAACCTGATACATTTTGTCACTGAAAACCATGTCTTCTGGTGTGACACTACAGGTATATGCTAGATTTAAATGGTGTAGCTTCATAGAAAAACTTTCAATTATTGAAGGACCCCATTCAGAATCATTTGACCGAAGCCCCGTGTGAAGCCCATTATGTGCAGCTGTAAAATTTTTGTCTCAGATTTTTCCATATAGTTAACATTTCTTTTCATTGTTCAAAAGATTTGCACTCATTAAATAATTGCTTTTTACAGTTTTTATTTTACATTCTTTGGGTGATACAAAACACAAACGTTTTGGCATAATGCCCTTCTCAGTGTGTGACACAGTCCTTTGACTCCACCCTTTTTGTACCACAATCAATCACACTGCATCATTAAACGGCCACTCGATGATTAAAAACAATCTCATTTTAGTTCAATATACCATAAATAACCACACAAAAAATATTTACCTTCAACTTCAAAAACATTTTTTCACAGGAAAAAAGCATACCAATTATCATCATTCACTTATTCGTGTCTACATCGATACAATGAAAATCCGACAGTCCAAAACATTAGAAAATATATTTTCATCTCATTCTTTGTATCATTACATTTTCAAAATCCATCATTCATAACATTATAGCTAAACAACAAACCGTTAAAGAAACACAGAAAGATATAATTCTTCATTTATTCCTCTTGGTGGAAGTGATTTTAATTTCTGAATCCAGAACGCTTCTTTTTTTTAATAATCTTTTATTTAGAAAACTTGCTCTATGTGACTCATACTTCTTTGATTTCTATACATTCTAGATGTTTAACGTCATGTCCGAAATCTATAAAATGTCTTGCTACTGCCGAAGTTATATCTTGACATCGAATACTTGATTTATATTCACTAATTCGCAACTTCAACTGACGTGATGACTTCCCTATATACAGTTGAAGTCAGTATTTTTAGCCCCCCTGTTTATTTTTTTCTCCAATTTCTGTTTAAGGAAGAGCAGATTTTTACAACACATTTCTGAACATAATAGCTTTAATAATTCATTTCTAATAACTGGTTTATTTTATCTTTGCCATGACAGTAAATAATATTTTACTAGATATTATTCAAGGCTCAACTAGGTTAATTAGGTTATTTACCATGGTTTATTCTGTGAACAGTCAAAAAAAAATAGCTTAAAAGGGCTAATAATTTTATCCTTAAAATGGTGTATAAAAAAATAAAAACTGCTTTTATTCTAGCCGAAATAAAACAAATAAGAATTTCTTATAAAGAAAAAATATTATCAGACATACTGTGAAAATTGAAATTCCCTTGCTCTGTTAAACATTATTTGGGAAATATAAAAAGAATAGAATAAAAAATTCAAAGTGCGGCTAATAATTCTGACTTCAACTGTATATCTTTTGGCACAGATATTTTAACATGTAGATCACATTACGAGAAGAGCAGGTAATACGTGCTTTTTATTGCTATATTTTTACCTTAGCTTAATCAAATTCTGACTTGCGGTACAATTTCTGCACAGAAAACATCCTTGTATGATGAAAATGTTTAACAAGTTATTCAAGTATTATTCATAATTTCATATAAAATAAATAGCACTATATGAAGTTAAGTGTGCAAAAATGAAGATAAATCTCTCACACTCTGTTTGTATATTATTAAAACTTGTTTTTCCTAATTTTTGCTGTCACACCATTGGACATTTGTACAGTACTGTTCAGTAAAAAGAATTGTGACCCCTTTTATTTTCTCAAATATCAGACTTCAAACCAAATAAATACACAACATAAAACAATTATTTCAAACACCACTGTTACATTTTTTACTGCCTATTTGTCAATTACTCATATACGTCTGTTTGTAGAATGTGGCGGAAGGCTGAAAGCAGAAGCACGACAGAAGAACCTGTATTCTCATGCTCAGTTTGGAGATAATAACTACCCCGGACACACCGACTGCGAGTGGCTCATAGTGGCAGAGTCGGGTTATGGCATCGAACTCACCTTCACCACCTTTGAGGTAGAAGAAGAGGCAGACTGTGGGTACGACTACATCGAACTTTACGATGGTTACGACACTGGAGCGCACAAAATCGGACGCTTCTGTGGATCTGGGGTATGAACATTATGTGAATGTGTGTTAGTGTGTTTCAGTGTTAGTGTGTTTAAGTGTATACTCAGACAATATAAACAATCATATCTGATTGTATTTATCACTTTATTTAGAACTATATAAAATATTATTCAAATATAAAACTTTCCAAAAAAATGAATGCTTACAGGTCCAACATATAGATAAAAAAGCTAAGTAAAATGCAAACATTGTAAAAAAAAGTACTTTGAAGATTGTAAATTCTCCTGATGCTGTTATTTATGATTTTGTCTGCATCTCCATAATAGTGTGATATTTAAAGTAAATATTATTACCATAAACAATGTATTTTGTGACACCACAAAATAATTGATAGAGCAAAAAATGAAGTGATAAAGTTAATTGTCCATACGGTATACAGTTACAGGCCACTTTATTAGGTATACCTTACTAGTACCTTGTTGGACCCTCTTTTACCTTCAGAACTGCCTTAATCCTTCGTGGCATAGATTCAACAAGGTACAGGAAATATTCCTCAGAGATTTTGGTCTATATTGACATGGTAGCATCATGCAGTTCCTAGAGATTTGTCAGCTGCACATCCATGATGCGAATTTTCCGTTTCATCACGTCCCAAAGGTGCTCTATTGGATTGAGAGCTCGTGACTGTGGAGGCCATTTGGGTGCAGTGAACTCATTGTCATGTTCAAGAAACTAATCTGAGATGATTCATGCTTTATAACATGGTGTGTTATACTTCTGAAAGTAGCCATCAGAAGATGGGTACACTGTGGTCATAAAGGGATGGACATGGTCAGCAACAATTGTCAGTTAGGCTGTGGCATTGACAAGATGGTTAATTGGTACTAATTTGCCCAAAGTGTGCCAAGAAAATATAGATGGGTCTATGGTTTCATGTTGTTGATGACAAATTCTGACCCAACCATCCGAATGTCACAGCAGAAATTGAGACTCATCAGACCAGCCAACGTTTTTCCAATCTTCTATTGTTCAATTTTGGTGAGCCTCTGTGAATTGTAGCCTCAGTTTGATGTTCTGGAGTGGCACTCGGTGTGGTCTTCTGCTTTTATAGCCTATCTGCCTCAAGGTTGGACTTGTTGTGCGTTCAGAGATGCTCTTCTGCATATCTCGGTTGTAACGAGTGGTTATTTGAGTTACTGTTGCTTTTTTTCAGCATTTTTCTCTTACCTTTGGCATCAACAAGGCATTTGTTCCCACAGAACTGCCGCTCACTAGATATTTCCTTTTTTTTTCAGACCATTCTCTGTAAACCGTAGAGAAGGTTGTGTGTGTAAGAAAGCCCAGTAGATCAGTTTAAAGTAATTTAACTCACTTTTCTTCTCCTTTCTGGTGCTCAGTTTGAACTGCAGCAGATTGTCTTGACCATGTCTACATGCCTAAATGCATTGAGTTGCTGCCATGTGATTGGCTTATTCGAAATTGGTGTTAAAGAGCAGTTGGACAGGTGTACCTAATAAAGTGGCCAGTGAGTGTAAGTCATCATATTGAACAGCCCTAAATTGTCCTCGTCTTAGAAACATATAGATATTCATAAGCAAGAATTGAATGCTTTTTTTGACCACTGAACTAGAATTAACAAGATTATCTCTCATCATGTGTGTTTGTGGTGAATTTAGGATGTTCATATGTCATATAGCTTCTTGTATTTCTCCCGCTGACGACTCTCTCTCCCTTTGTTTAGCCTCGTGAGGAGCTTTACTCTGCTGGCGATGCCGTGTTGATCCATTTTCACTCTGACGACACCATCAGTAAGAAAGGCTTTCACATCCGCTACACTAGCACAAAGTTTCAGGAGGCGCTACACACACGCAAGTAACATTTGAGAGACTGAAGACAGGGATAAAATGAGGAGAAAAAGACTCCAGCAAACTATTGCAATTGATTCATTTCAATCAAAGACCCTGCCGTTATGTGTTTTCTGCATTGGATTTGCCTCTATGTTCAGCCACTATGGAAGTGCTGTCATATTGACCCTAAACACCAATCAGCTGCTCTTATGTGTGGGATTGCTCCGCCCACTGGAGTGGTGTCTTGCGCTCTCTGACTGGAGCAGTGCAGTGAAAACACACACACACAATCACACACAAAACTTTCTTGTTGGCTCTCCATTCTTCAGACATAGAGTTGCACACTGAAACTAAGAGACACTGATAATAAGACATTTAAGTAACTGCTATTGAACGTGTGTGTGTGTATGTGTGTGTGTTGCTCCGGACAGCATGGACAGTTTGGCTGCTGACGCCACACCACACTGTACCTCAGCTAAAAATGTGTGTGTGTATTTGGATGTGTGTGATTGAGAGAAAAACAGAAAGAGAGAGAGAGAGGCCTTCAAATACCAGCCTGAACTCATTCAAATGTTTTTTTTTAATTGTGGTTGTACAATTCTTCTGTTATTGTTCTGTTAGCTTTACGGCAAAACCCATTTTCTCTCCATCAAAAGTGCAAAAGTAAATATGTAGCCCTATTTAACAATAAGCTTCCTTACATGTATGTAGCCCATTGTTTATGTCAGCGGAGACAGACATCATTTGTCAGTGAACTATTAAGCTGGAGGGTCTCATTCACTAAGTATCTGCATGCATCAACTGGTGAGGGAAATTTCCAACCCATTCTGAAAATGTACCTTTATATACATTTCTGGAGAGCGCCAAATACGTCCCAGGAGCTACGTTTTTGTCAGTTTTTGTTTTTGCGAATCCACCAGAGGCTGCTGTGTATGCTTTTTGAGATCTTAAATTTCTCTCACCATTGCCATTCACACCTGCTGTTCTCTTGTAAATCCACCAGAGCCCGCTGTTGACTGACTTTCTGGCTGACCAATCAACTTGACCCACCCTCCTCCTTTCCTAAACCTAACCAATAGTATTTTAAAAAGCACAGATTGACCTGCCCACCCACTTCCCTAAACCCAACCGACAAATTTAAAAAGCAATTCAGAAAAAGAAAAGCCCTCTCCTGATTTTTTTTACTTAATTTTATCACATTCTCCCCTGTTATTTACTTGTTTATTTTATTTTTTGGATTCTGTTTTTGTCTTATTTGCTTTCTGGAATTCCTCACCGGACTCTCATTAAACCGCCCTGTATCGGTCAATTTTAAAAATGAAAAGCAGTCATACGTACTTCTGGCTACATAATTCTTGATCACTTGAAATATATATATATATATATATATATATATATATATATATATATATATATATATATATATATATATATATATATATATATATATATATATATATATATATATATATATATATATATATTTATATAAGGCTACGTTTTCAGAATGAGTCTATGTTGGAAATTTCACAAGTCACCTGTACTGTGTTATGTGCTAAAATTTATTCTGAATTCCAAAAAGGAATGACTGAAACCACACGTCCACAACAGTCACATGCTCTGGGTGGCCTTATGATTGTAAGATCAAATCTTATACATCAGTATTGAATCTTAAATATATTTCATCATACTGTGCAAAACTGCATTACAGCTTAAGCCACTGGTATGGCTCTGGGACACGCATCAGTTTCCCTTTTCATTAAACTATGACACATTTTTTTCCCCATATGAACATAAGCACAAACCCACTTTACTTAACATACACACAGATTGAAAGAATATTAGGCTACGTTCACACTGCAGGCAAAGTGGCCCACATCTCATTTTTTTTGTCCATTTGATTTGTCATAAGAGTGTGACCAGCCTAAACCGTATGGAATCTTTTCAATTCTGTCTGTGCCACTTTTATATGTGCTATTAAATCAGATACAGATCTGATGTTTTGAAATTTCGCAGAGTAAACAGCTGTGTAAGAATTCATGTAAATTTTAAATCATTTCGATCGGCGCGTGTCATTATTCTGTACTGGTTTGTGCTGCAAACACTCTCTACTCCCCATTGCCATAGTGGAATAACACACAGGGCAAATACTTTACATAAAAGGTTGTTTATTTTGAATATTTTTTGAATGACAACTGGCGCTTGTAAATAAACATTACCCATTAATCTGTAACAAAAAAATAATAGTTCAGTTATATTTTAAATACCACCATAATTGCATAGATTAAAGAAATAAAATACATAGGCCTGCATGAAATGGCTGTTTCACTTTAATAATACATTAACAACAGAAAATGCAACAAGTTTAATGCTACTTGTAAACCTTTTTTGTTGTTAAGGACAAAATCCTTATCAAACGTTATACGTTTCCGTTTCACTTTGATGAGTTTGTACCGGATACAGCCTATGCTGTTTATAACAAATTAAAATGAATCAACTGTAGGCTAGGTTATCAGACTCTGCAAAGTCCAAACAATGTACCCTTTTCACATTTCTGGGTTTCTCAGTAGCGAAAGTCATGATAGATGATTAAACTTAGAGCGCAGTGAATCAGAGAGTACAACAAATATAATTTTTTTTCAACCTTATTCGCTGAAATAATAAAAGAAAAACTCCACAATGGTGTTATCAAGACTTTCAGAAAAAGGGAAAAAAATAGTGTGAGACTGATGACAGCAGCTAGAGGAGAGAATAACATCAAATTTACTCTCAGCCCCATAGACGCTGCATTAGAAATGCCTTGCACGAGCAGTAATTCGTTTTTTTTTTTGTTTTATTTGACGCAAAGATGATTCATTCATAAATGCATATAAATGTTCAAACTTTTTTTTAAAATAAAAATATTAAAACCTTTCAAGGATTTAAGATTATGATGACCGTTAAAGGCGTCATAACAGTCTTGTGGAAAGGGTACATATAATTTTTAACACCCGACTTGAGCTCTGCCTTTACAGTTCAATCTGCAGCTGCTCATTAACCCTTGATGAGTTCACTACACACCGGTGATTCACTACACAGCAGTGGTTAATAACAAATAATCAAAATAATCACAAAACACCTATTTTAGGTTTGAAATGCACATTAGCACTAGAAAGCCAACCATTTATAGTTTATAAAAAAAACACAGCAGTTGTCTGTGAAAATTTCAATATTCATATATTGAAATAAACAATCTGACAACGTGCATTATTCACTTCATAGAGTACACACATTGCATAATTAGACCTTTTGTGCTGTGGGTAGGTGTACCTTTGCGCATGCGGGTCAGTTAAGGACCATGATCCGTTTACTCTGGAAATATGATATTGGCCACATTTATAATAACAGTGTGAACAGCTATTCAAAAAAATCTGATCTGAAAATAAAAATAAGATTTGAGCAGTGTGAATGTAGCCTTAGTAATACTCCTGATGAAGAAACATTAACAAGCAGCCCCAAACTAGTGTTTATTGATTCAACAAAATGAGAAGTGGTTGTTTAAAAGCAAGTTACATGGCTTTATTTTTGCTCTTGTGATGAACTACTATAATTTTGCATGCTGTTAAAGAGTACTGTAAACACAGTAACAGCTGACAGCTTAGACAGCTAATAAGAATATATTTTATTTCTTAACAAATAACAAAAACATTATTCTTCTGTTACTTTTAGTATTAACACGACTAACAAGATTTTCAAGGAAGACACATCAGCAGGCTCACAACATCATAAGATTAGGTTAGATTTAGGTTATGACGTCAGGTGACCAAAATTTAATATCTAGCCAGCATCTAAGGACAACATTATTTTGACGTCCAATAACGACGTCAAATTACCTTGATATTTGGTTAATTTTAGGTTGTGTTGGAAAATGACCAAAATCCGACGTCTGATAGATGTCATAGTGGTGACATCAAGGTGTAACATGATTAGACATTGATAATTGGTTGATTTTAGGTTGGACATTGACGTTGGGTTCTGATGTCAACCAGATTTTCATTTCCAAACAAAATCTAATGTCCCCATGACGTTGGGGTACAACGCCAATATGACGTCATGTTGACATCTTGTGCCTGCAGGGATTACACACACTATGCTTAGCCCATATATTTGACATTTTCCCTGGCAATTTTGTGTATGCAGCTGGATTTTACTGTTGGCAATCGAGCACTGGTTGCTGCTCTTGTCTGGCCACTTTCTGCATTTACACTATTGAAAATAGACACTCACGTCTGCTGTATTGTGTCTAAAATGGCCTTTTGGAGAATTTATTTTTTATTTTTTGCACATAGGAACCATCTAAAAGGAGCTATCAACAGCTTTCACCAACACCTTTCAAAATAAAAACATACAAAAACCCTCTGCGACTCACCAGTTGAGAAACACCGGCCTAATATATTGTACAGTTATCTAGTGAGAGGTCTGTAATCTAGGTCTGCGTTAATGGAGTTTGAGCTGAGATCTCGCTTCTGTGGAGTCATTTGTTTGCTCATAGTTTTGAAAGGCTGATCGAATGCTTTTATATAAAGATGGTTTGGGTGTCTTGTGCAAATGTCTAAACTCCAAAGTCATTAACATCACAATTAGTCCATTTTATTGGAAGTTTCATTAAAAAATGTGCAAAGTGAATTTTAGTGAATGAGACCCAGTATCTTGTGTGTCGGTCATGAAGAGGCCCACAGGGAATCACCTTGTGAGTTCACTTATCAGGCACCAAAAATTGAATGCATCGATTGATCATGCTATAAAAGTGTAATGCTATTTCACAATTTAATACCCAAGATTATTTGAAAATAGTTAGATTCCATCTGCGCCTGTTCCTGACTTCCACAAAGCATGTGAATTTGCTTGATTTTGAATTGTTTTTGTGTGACAGAGAAAATGATCTAATTTGTCTGTTGAAGAAATCAGTGGTTTTCTCAATTTTCCAGTAAAGCCTCATGAAGAAATGAACAGGAAATGATGTCATAAAGCCTTGCGTAATATGTCTGTTACAGCTGTGACAAGTGACTACAACCACCTTAACCCTGTGCGCTTTATATGCACTTAACACAGAAAGACTGTGTGCTCTCCAATCATGCAAATACCAACGAGGATGACAAACTGACAAGAGCTCAGACAAACACGACGGATACAGACTCATCCCAAGGGAACGTTCTTTGTTGCTATATTGTTGCTATATTCCCAATGACGAGTTTTCCCAGCTTGGAAAGAAGTCGCTGTTGAAGGGAAATCCTACGGTGCTATTCGGTGTCTCGAAGCAAACGACAGATCCCATGAAGCAATGCTCCAGCCATTCAGTGAATGCGTTGGTGCAGTGGAGAGGCAACGTCGAGAGGACGACGTCGCTCATCTAAAACACTGACAAACACATTCTCACAGCATTGACAGCACTAGTGTTGTGGAGGAACAATTATTGCCTTAGAACCAAAATGTACATTCTTGCACATGGTGATGTTTCTGTAGATAATGATGTTTTTGTTTTCAAATTATTATTATTATATTTTATTTGATATTAAGTTTAAAGAACTTGAACCTTTATGTTTAAAAAAAAGAACTTTAAATGGACCGACCTGAAACCGTCCCCTTCTGCCACACACACATACACACACACACACGGATACGTTTTAATGCTTTAAATTCAGTGAGACTGTGATGTATGTGTGCATCTGTTGGTCACAGGTCATGTGACTGAGTATTTCTGTATGTGCCAAGCTCCTGTTGATTCCACTCTAGATGAATTATGATGTATGAAAATGTGAAACATGATTTATTCAACTGTTTCATCATTATCCCAATGATGAAGAAGGACTCTTCATTCTCAAACAGTGATTAAACTCATGGCAGGTCAATTAAATATGTGCTGTCATTCGTTTTTTCTTGTTGCTCATTAGACACTTTACTGGCTTCTTTGCTCTTTTCTATGGAGTGGATATGTTTTGTTTTTTTCTCAAGGCCCAATAATAGACACTTGCTGGACACCTGATACACCAGTTCTGTTTCAGATATCTAAACCTGCCAATCAAACGACAGCAACATGGTCAAGCCGAACAACAGAATGGGGAAGGAAGGTTATATTAGGGACAGA